GGCTGAATGTTGACCCCAAGGCCAAATCGGTCAGGCAAAAAAAAAAGAGCCATGGATGTCACGCGAAACACCACCACAATTGAGGAAGTCAGCAAGCTACTCAAGGTCGACTTCATTCTAGAGGTTCAGTACCCGAATTGGCTGTCAAACGTAGTCTTAATCAAGAAGGCTAATGGGAAATGGTGGATGTGCGTCGATTTCACCAATTTGAACAAAGCCTACCCAAATGACAGTTTCCCCTTGTCCAGGATTGACCAGTTGGTGGACGCTACAGCTGGGCATGAGCTACTAACGTTCATAGACACATATTCGAAATATAACCAAATCAAGATGCATTATGCAAAGCAGGAGCACACCTCATTCATCATCGAATATAGCCTCTATTGCTAAAAGGTTATGCCTTTCGGGTTGAAAAATGTAGGGTTACCTACCAAAGGATGGTAACCAAAATGTTTGCTTCCCAAATAGGGAGGAATATGAAGGTTTATGTAGATGACATGCTTGTTAAAAGCCGCACTGCAGAGCAGCACGAAAAGGACCTAGCGGAAGCCTTCCAGGTCATGAGGAGTAACGATATGAAGCTCAACCTAGCGAAGTGCGCCTTCGGGGTCACCTTGGGTAAGTTTCTTGGCCTCTTATCATTCACTAACGAGGGATTGAAGCAAACAACGAGAAGATCTGAGCCATCCTGGATATGAAATCCTCGACGAACTTGAAACGACTTCAGAGCCTCAACGGGAAGGTCACCACACTGAACTGATTCATCTCTAAGTCCACTGACAAGTGCTTGTCGTTCTTCAAGATTCTCAGAAAAGAAGGCAAGTTTGAATTGACAGATAAGTGCGAACAAGAACTGACAGACAAGTACGAATAGGATTTTACAAAAAAGAGGGAAGCAAGCAGTCCCTAGTTTATTACACCAGCAAGGTGATGGTGGGCGTCGAAACGCGCTACTCGACTATCCTTGGCTTGGTATTCCTTGTTGACTTGGTTGACTACTAACTATGAGTCATTGAGGATGTGGACTATGCGATTTAACAATGGAAAAAAGAAAAGTGAGCATTTTGCAGAGATGGTGCCAAGTACATTAAGTACTTCATTGGTCGAAACATTCCTTACAGATAGATTTAAATTGACATGATAGGTTGACGATCTTAAACCCTCTAAATCACAGATGTTAAACAAATTTAACTCTGCAAAATGGTTGATTGAAATAACGCTTCACAATAGAATCGCTCACTATGTGTAGCTTTCCCTAGTATCAATATCACCATAAACACAATGTATTACGATATGAGTAATGGAAGCTTCCACGTGCATATATAATCAAAATTTCTTCACAAAAACTTAGAATCATCTGACCTTTTTCAAAACCCAAACAAGATCTTCCAGAAATTTTCCCTTACAACCTACCGATCTGATATCTAGACCTTGAAAACCATGAAAAACAAAGAAAAGATCTTGAAAAATAAATGATTAAAATCACTTAATTACCAAGCTAATGAAATCACATAACCCATCTGGATTTTCAATAACCAACCTCATATTCATCCATTGTTCCCAGAAAAAGAAACACACACAATTAAACTACTGAAATCACAAAACTCATCTGGATTTTGAACACTCATCTCATAAATTGATCAGCAAATACAAATCCACCTTCACGAAACAAACTAAGAGAAGAAAAGAAAAAAATTAGATAAACAAGCAAAAAAAGAAGAACAGAGAAGAGAATCGCATAGCTTCATTAGATGGTCTTCAAAAACTCAAATTAAGAAATTTGGTTCCAACATCACAAAATGACGAGACCCCAAATGGAGAGTATTGTCGCCGCTCGTGAAGGGAGTCGTCGGCACCGGTGAAGAGCGTCATCGGTACTGATTGAGAGCGTCACCGCCGTTAGTGGAAGGATTGTGGGTTTGCCATTGGGTCGTGTTGTGCGTGAGGACTGAGAAATCTGAGGAGAGGGAGGGGGTGGGGCGGCACTAAAAGTAAAGAAGAGAAAGTGGGAAACCCTAGTGGTTTGGTTAAAACAGAATCAAACCGAAAGTGTTCGATTCAGTTTCCTTCGGTTTCGATTCTCATTTTATTAAAACCAAACCAACTAAACCCGACCCGAACTGAATCGGTTCGGGTCGGTTCAAATTATTTCACCCCTAAGAGCGAGCATTGTTGGACGGTGCGCTGGGAGACAACGTTCTATCGGAGAAGAAGGAAGGAGGGAGGAGAAAGGAGGAGGTAGAAAATAAGGCAATGGGCATGTCAACTTTACCAATCAACCCAAATAATTTAAAATTAATATATTTTGACACGTGCCACGTAATCATGGTCCCTGCCACTTAAGCATTCTATCAGGTCAACTAATGGTCAAAGGAGCTCAAGGACCATTTAGAACTATTTCTCAAATTTCAGGAACCAAAAGTAAAAAGCAAAAAGGAGTAAAATCCACTGAGCCAAATAATACTTATGCAAAATATTTCAATTATAAACATTACAAATGAATGTTTTTCAATTTTTATCCATTTCTAATTTTCATAAATAAAAATACTAAACGTCATTCCAAGAGCATCTAACTCAGGTCCTCGATTATAAATGGTGAGTCTGATCCAAGTAAAATGATATATTCAATTTTAATCTTGTTTGAGATATCCAAACTGTAAAAACCCGCCCGTGAACTAATTCCAAGAAAATTTCATAAAAATTCGGGTGAGTTTGAAGAAAACTCGCCCAAGGTCTATAGCTTTCTCTAACGTGATAATGAATACAAAATGAAGGGTAGTTTAGTACCTTTACTCCCACTGACGTATCAGGAAAAACTGTTTTAGGTTAGAAAAAACAACTTTTGAGGGGTGCGTTATTTTGGATCATTTGGGTCAATTTTCCGTATATTTTCCCATATTATTTTAGCACATATTTGTGAATATTTTATCTTTTAACAATTACATTTGCGGCTACCATTCCCTGCTGTCACAAGTTCTCAAACCATAAAAGCAAGCCACGTAGGCCCACTCTCCCACGTGAGTATCCCACAGATGTCACGTGGCCAAATCAAAAGCAGCCTCATGATGAAACTCAGGGGACACCTCAGATCACGACAGCCAATAAAAAATGCCCGTTCGGGTGACGTGGAAGATTCGGTCGGATTTCAAAACATGGTAGAAAAGAAAACCGTTGCAATTTCGCTCCACACATTTTTCCCACTGCCTTATCTTTCTTTCCCTCCAAACAAGACGGGCGAACACGAAATCGATACACCGAAACCCTAATTTCTCCTCGCTTTTTCCTTCTCACATGGCTACCAAATTGACACTCTCGTTGCCATCCTCGAGTTCACTCACTGTTCCGATTCAGAAACCGGCAGTTTCTCTGTTTTCCTCTCCGGCGAGGTCCCATTTGGTTCGGGTTTCTAGCCGGCGGCTGTTTCTTCGCCGGCGGGTGCTTCTCCTCCCTCCCCGGGCTACTACGGACCAACCAGGTCAGGTTCACTTAACTGAAGCATTATATCGTTGAGATTAGTCTGTTAAGTGTTTGCGGGCAGAGATAGAATATGATTAGTTTAACACAGTTAACTTGAACTAATGTTTATACGGTTCTTTTCTTTCATATTTATCGGAACAGATGAGTTAAAAAGCAGCGTTCATTTCTTGATGTGAGAAAATGTAAGTGTAATGAGAAGTCAGTGGGAGAAAAGTGTGTATGTAGAGCGAGATTAGTGAAGAGAAGTGTATAGTGGGAGAAGTGAGTGAGAGAAAATGTATGTAAAGTGCCATTAAGGAAAGAAAGTGTGTCCAAGAGATTGAGAACTAAGTGTTTAAGCCAAAAGAAACTTGAGAAATCATTTATCAATTGCAAACATTTAAGTTAGAAGTATTTTTAACATTTTAAAAGTACTTATGCCATATAAGATCTCTCAAACATGGCCTAACACATTAAGAAATATTTTATGGGAAAATTATAATGGGTGGCGCAACAATTTAAAAGTACTTCTGCCATATAAGATCTCTCAAACATGGCCTAACACATTAAGAAATATTTTATGGGTAGCAAAGCTGGTTGGGTCATATTTGCAAATTTTTAACCCCACGATGGCCATCTACCTTAGGAATTAGTAATTCCTATGTGTTTCCGGGCACCAAATATTGTAGGGTCAGGCGGTTGTCTCGTGAGATTAGTTGAGGTGCGTAAGCTGGCCCAGACACTCACGGATATTAAAAAAAATTTATATTTGCAAACTTTTTGAAAAAAAATTACAAATATATCTTTTTTCTTGTAGATCCTAATATACCATTTTTGTATAATCATGAAAGTATATCATTGATACAACCCATATAAATATTAAATCAACCAATACAAAATATATCATATCGCTGATGTACCATTTATGTGATAAAGTGTATCATTAAGCTACCAATTTAAATTACAACACTTATATATGAGTTCGTACATTTATGCCATTTTTTTATGCGACAAATTTGCTATTATTTAGGCCCACTTTGCTATTATTTGGGCGAAATCATAAGAAAAGCTATTTCATAATATACTTAGAAAATCTAATTTCATAATATTAATGAAATGGTTTCTTCTAAAAGGAAAGAGAGAGAGAGAAAATATTTTGAAAAACTATTTTATTTTCTTATGATTTCTCCTTAGAATCAAAATTATCCAGTAGTTTTCAGAACCTATTATTCTATGAAATGTTTAGAAAGTGCAAGTCTATAATATATGTTTATAGAGAAGAAAGCACGAGGAACATTATCAGATAGTTAGCATATGAGATTTAAACATTAATTTACCTGCAGATCCTGATGAAAGTAATCCTGTGGAATGGGCATTTACTAGATATCTAATTGTAAATTTTAATGGACGGTTTGGTTTGGCAAATATAAATATTATCGGGAACTTTTTTGGCTTTCTTCCCATCTCCTCTGCTTCTAGTTTGCCTCTAGAGAGACTTCATAATAGGCCTTGATTTCAAAAGGAAAATGCAATGTGTTGACTCCATTATTTTTCTTTCAGGTCAGGTTGAGGGTGATGATGTTGTTGATAGTAAGATCCTTCAATATTGTAGCATAGACAAGAAGGAAAAGAAGTCAGTTGGTGAACTTGAACAAGACTTTCTCCAAGCTTTACAGGTACATTGTATCTGAATTTTCAGTATTGTTTTCTTAATCTCTTTTTGTCGATGTGTTCTTTTAATCTATGCAAGATTTGGTATTTCTAGAGGCATTAACATCAGGACTTGAAGTTGTGTTCCAAAATTAATCCAGTTTAAATTCAATGGACTTCTAATGTTACTATGCCTGTAGCACATTGAGTGTACTTTTGGCCCATATGATTGATCGGAAAGAACATCAAAAGCACTTAAAAGTAATGAACCAAGCATAAAATGATTTTTCAGTAAAAATAAGTGCCCGTAGTTAAATTACTTATTCTAGAAGCAATACTAAACACACCCTAAAATAGTTTATCTTCACTTTCTGCAGGCATTCTATTACGAGGGTAAAGCTATTATGTCAAATGAGGAATTTGATAATCTCAAGGAAGAATTAATGTGGGAAGGCAGCAGTGTTGTAATGCTAAGTACTTACTGATCACAATCAAATCTCTGCGTATATACCTAACTATATTTAAGATTGGTCACTTACTTTTTATAATTTTGTATGGTTAAATTTGTGATACAGGTTCTGACGAGCAAAAGTTTCTGGAAGCTTCAATGGCGTATGTATCTGGAAATCCAATTCTGACGGATAAAGAATTTGACGAATTGAAGCAGAGACTTAAGGTCTATTTGAATTAGTTACAGTTTTAATTTTTAAACTTTGCTTGGCTATCGGTTTGCACTTTTATCTCTATTGACGCCTACATGGTTCTTAAGTTTTAATCTTTAATTGAAAAAAAATCATATGGCCATATGACCCCTTCCTTCCCTTGAGGATTTCCAGAGAGCGGGATCTTTTTGTTGTCTTGGATTAATATAGTTTCTACGGGAATAGTATGTTTTTACCTAAAAAAAATAAGAAGGGGTTGAAAGTAAGCTAGTCCTTATCTCCTTTTCTTCTTGCTTTGGTGATTGATATAGGAACAAAGGGGAATATGTTTGAAGGCTTTTCAATGAGTAGGAATCCTGTTCAGTTTATCACATTTTTATATTCGTTGATGACAATAATTTGTTTGTGCATTTAAGGAGGAAATAATTTCCAATACGTTCAAAATCTGGAGGTGGCCACTTAATGAATTGAAAGGATGTTTCTCCCCTGAGAGTTTGGAGACTAGGTCTCACTAACATCAAGAAGAAAAACTGGTATCTTCTTTCCAAAGGGATATGGAAATTTCCTAGAGAACCTTCATCTTCAGGCATGAAAATTTTGACTGGAGCTTTTCCTCTTATGTTAGGGGTAGTTTCAGCAGTCTCTGGAAGGAAAACTAGAAAACTCCTTCGCTTTGATGCTTTACTTCATCTTCAGGCACTGAATCATTGGTAGTAAACATAGGTGCATTAAAATAGGGGCCTTCTGCATCGCATTGGCAAAAATAGGTGCCTCATCTCTAATATCCTAGAACCACTTTAAATTGCATATATTAAGGTGTTAATAAAAAACATAGTGTTAGCGCCCGTCCAAAAACTGTCAAATATTTGAACTTAAAAAAGGACTTAGAGGGAATTAGTTCAAACTATGGTGGCCACCTATCTAGGATTTAATATCCTACGAGTTTCCTTATCAACCAAATGTAGTAGGGTCAGACGGTTGGCCCGTGAATAGTCGAGGTGTGCACAAGCTGACCCGGACATACGGATATAAAAAAAAAAAGTACCTCTAACTAGACATTGTGCTGATTTTTTATTGAGCAGTTAGTTCAGGAACATAAAAAATGAACTATTTTTTGCTTGCAAGGTTGACTTAGTTTAAGCAAGCAAATAACAGTTACCGCCTTTCTAGTAAAGAGTAGCTCAAAAATATTAAATTAAGTTACTACATGTAAGTTTGGTCAGTAATCAATGTCTCTTATGTGATATAATTGAAATTATTATGCTTTCAGACGGAAGGAAGTGAAATTGTGGTTGAGGGCCCTCGTTGCAGCCTCCGAAGCAGAAAGGTATGTATAATTGTGTATATAGTTTCAAGCTGTTTTATAATTAGGGTAAGTTTTGGATGACTTAATGTTGGAAAATTAGCGAATTGTAAGCATTTGTTTTGTTGGATACTTGGTCTAAAGTCACTTTGAATTTTTTTGGGAACTTTAAAAACATTTAATGCTTCTAAACCTTCTTAAAAAGCACTTGATTAATGCTTCTTTCAACACCACCCCTCCTCCCCTAACTTCCTTTTTAATTTAGCAATTATATACTAAAAATGCATATGCATGTATATATGGGGCATTGCACTCCATCCCTTTTCTCTTTCAGAAAAAGCTCTTTATTTTAGTTTTCAGTTGCTGCAAGCCTGCAAGCAATTTAGGCTGCTTGAGGAGGGAACAGTGAGAAATGTCATAATATTTATGCGTTGATCCTTTTCTTGGTTGTAGAAACCAAAAAGACATGATTCACTGATCATTCACATGAAGTTCCGTTTGAAGATTCCGGGAATTATGCCTTTTGTTTTCTTCCTATCATCTAACTGGCTTACTAAACAGTCTTCACTAACAAACAATTCAAAAGAAAAATACAAAATCCACATATCATTAAATGTTAAATCCTTTATCTCACTTGAACATAAAATGGCTTCTGATTATTATTGTATATACATCTTTGATTATGAAGTACCTGCATTGATTATTGTGCTTGTCGATCAGATCGAAACATACCTCCCTTAAGGATGATGCCCATCTTTACACTTTTCTTGTGCGCATGAGACTTCAATGACCAGAATGGCTTGTATGAACTTGTATTAATTACCTTTCTTACAGGTTTATAGTGACCTCTCTGTGGACTACTTTAAGATGCTTCTCTTGAATGTTCCAGCCACTGTAGTTGCACTAGGACTGTAAGTGTCAAACTAACCATTTGAATTTATGTGATAATATCTGATTTGGACAACCTTGAGAGGCAACTGTGATAATGTTTTTGTTTTTTGTTTTCTGTTTTTAAAAAGTATAAAAGTTATTTTCAAAAATAGAAAATTAAAAATAAATTTATTATCAAAAGGGCCTAAAATGTTGAAATTATGCCAAGGTTTGTCCTGGTATTGCAATTCTGTCGTGCTTGGCCCCTCTTTGTTTGCATATTCATGTTCAATACCTAAGACGCTCATTCTCCTATGAATCCTTTTAGGTTCTTCTTCCTGGATGATATCACTGGATTTGAAATTACATACTTACTGGAGGTAAATATTTATCTTTTTTCTCAATGGGCACATCCTTATCCTAATACTTTAACAATGATCGCTTCGAGCTTTCTCGACTTTCTTGATCAATTCTAATGCAAGAGAAGCTCTTTAGCTAGAGAGTAAGCTAGCAGAGATCTTCAATCCAAACTTTGCAGTATTTGTGTATTACATAGAAAATAATGATTCGAAAATCTCTCTGATAATCTTATGGCTTCTTACTTTATGCTCTTTTAACTCGGGATTTGTTCATACTGAGTTGAATGCAGCTCCCAGAACCATTCAGTTTCATCTTCACTTGGTTTGCTGCTGTGCCACTCCTAGTTTGGTTAGCTCTTACCCTTACAAATGCAGTTGTTAGAGACTCTTTGATCTTGAAGGTAGAGTTCCATCATTTTTGCCAACTTATACCTTGAATGCCCTTGAAATGGCATATGTAGCAATCTTTGACCGAACAAAATCTTTTTTAGGGCCCTTGTCCTAACTGTGGAACTGAGAATGTCTCGTTCTTTGGTACCATACTATCGGTTTCAAGCGGTGGCAACACAAACAAACTCAAGTGCTCAAAGTAAGCATGAAGTTCATAAAATTGCAACCATGAACAACATCTTCTACTTATATAAGCTTCTTTTCTTCAATTACTGGATGGTTAAAAACTATATCTTTTCCTCAGCTGTGCAACTGAGCTGGTTTACGACTCGAAAACTCGCTTGATCACATTACCAGAAGGAAGCAGTGCCTAAATGAGGGGTACGCTTTGCATTCACTAGAGAAAATAACATGCATCTACTCTATGTTATCATTCTCCAAGTTCTGTCATTTTGTCCCATTCTCGGACTGGTTATCATTTCAGAACTCTGTCCTTTTTCTCAACACTGCATCTTATTCAAATCCTAAAGACTTCTCATGCTACTTACTGTTTTTATTATCTGCTGACAAATCCAGGACCTGTAAGGTGTAACTCCAAGAGAATCAAGACCAAGAGATCATCATATGGCAGTTTCAAGAATTCTCTATGGTTGGATACGAAGATATTTAAGACCAAGTCACGTAGAGAGAGAATTTTTCAGCTGTTGTACAATATTGTATCTTGATGTACAAATTTGTGAATACTCATCATGTATATTCTATACCTAGAGAAGGGAGTGATTGATGAAGTTTCAGAATGCCATCCATCCAATAAGACATAATTCATGTATGTAAATTGACACCCTAGTTGAAAAGTTCAAAACTAAAGCTAAATCTGCAGTTTAAAATAAAGACAAAAATAAAGTTTCTATTATACAAAGATCTAGAAATACATAGATGGGGAAATATAAGAGAAGGTTATTAAATAATGGGACTCAAACTAGAACCAGACGACTGAATAAAAATTCACCATATCAATACAATCTGTTCTTCTACCTTCACAAGACATTTGAATATAGAAAATCAAGAATTCAGTGCACATTCGACGCTAAATCCAGTCTTCTAAGGCAGCAAGCATAAAAATGTCATACTCGGATTAAATCGCAGCATTGTTACTTCCGAACAATTGAGGTTTCTACAGAATTGCCACGTCCAAATAATCTCCAATCTACAATTTTCAAATTTAAAACAATGCATAAAAAATCTCAGTTTTCCTCACAGTCACAAACTTTCAAAAAAACTCAATTCATGAATTCAAGTTTTACCTGGAAGTCCAGTTCACCCAATGCCTTGCTATCATCTAATCTCCTCCCATTTCCATAAGAATGTGTCATTCCAACCTTAATTAAATGATAACAACTTGAACTTATTAATATATCACCAATTCTTGTAGTTAAATGAGAAGGTAAAATTTAAAGTCCATTGCAGGTGATATTTTTGCTATCATTCACTCACCTGTTTCAAGACGAACCGACCGCGCTTATCGGGATAAACAAAAGCAAAAGAAAGTTTTGCATTTCTTCTTCTTGCCTCCGGAGCAACCTCCTTAACCTAAAATTAGATGGGCATTTATCATATACAAAACATCAACAGAAAAATACTGGAAACACACTACGAAGAAATAGATGAGTCATGAGTGTAGGTTTTCAGCATACTAGATCGGTCAGTTCCCGGAGTGTTGCATCTTTCCATGTGTAAATCTGAACCTCATCTTTGGGTTCCTTGCCTCTAATTGCAAAATCCTCATCAGAGTGGTGACCTCCAACCTGCAACAAATGTAAATGAGGCAATTTTTCTTTTTCTTAATTGGCAAACCAAGCTCTCGTTGAGAAAAATAAAATAACACAAAATAGGATACAAAAAGACAGCCTAATGAACAAGCCTAACAAGATTTCAAATCCCATAATGGCCTCTAGGATTGTAGATATTTCCTTGGCAACCAAATGGAGTAGGGTCAGGAGGTTGTCCGAAGTGAGTCAACATAATGGCCTGGATACTCACGAATATGAAAAGGAAAAAAAAAATGAACAAGCCAAATATACCCAAACAACTATAGCTCCAATCCATAATAATAATACTTAAGATAATTCACAAAAATCATTTGAGATCTATTCCTTCAAGCTCATGTTGTATAATCCTGTCAGTGTCCGCAGTAAGATGAAAATACATGAATCCCAAATTCTAATATCAAAATAAAGTTTTTTTTTTTTTTTCAAGAACAATTCCCAAGTGTACCAATCAGAAGAAAAGGAAAAATGTGAAAAAAATCTTCAACACGATCTTCACACAACAATAGAAACGGAATCAAGGTTAAACACTACCGTATTGAGTAAAGACAACGTAGAACAAGTGCACAATCGCTAATTAACTCAGAAGTATCATAAAAGCTAGCAGAGGACAACAATGTCGAACAGTTACTTAGAACAGGAAGTCAGAACTCGCGACATTTTCTTCCACCATTGATGCACATTAAAAATTTTCTCAAATTTCAAAACAGCAAAGGAAAAAAATCAGTTAAGAATGATTTCTCACAACAAACTCAAACGTACCTTAGTAAAAACCCGAAGCAACAAAGGGCAGGTCTTGAATTCCCCGCAGAGGACGCCAAAATTCGAAGAGAAAAGTCAGTTGAATGAACGGACAAAGGTTTCAGTAAGAGAGAAAAAAACACGAGAGGAGGAAGGCAAAGCCCTAAGAAAGAAAAAAAAAAAAAAAAACCTTTTCGCGGTCGACGGGTTCGAAACGAGGGCGAGGAGGCGGCGGCGGAGCTTTGGGCTGAGACGGCGGAGGGAGAGGCCGGGCGGAAGGTCTACCTTGCGGCGGAGCAGTTGCAGCTCCGCTCATCTTCTCATCTCTGCTTCTCTTGTCCATGGTGGGAGTGTACGGCGTTACAGAGCTTCTGTTTTGATTTTTCCAATTTTGGTTTAACCATTTTCTTCGCATCGATTTGGGCTTATCCGAAATGGGCTGGGCCAAGAGCTCGATAAGCTAAGCCCGTACGTTTTTAAGCCCATTTTCAAACCTAAGTTGAAATACTGATAAGATTTCGATGTGAATGACTGTTGTTTAAAAGATTATAAAAACCAACAAATTCGTAAATTTTTTTTTTGAGAAATATTCGTAAAAATTATTTAAATTAACTATTTCACACTTTTTAAATAAATTTAAAACTTCCTATAAATATTATATTCTATTAAATTTTTTTACAATATAATAAAAATTTCTATTATTTTTTTTTTGTTGACGTTGAACTTATGAAAATATAGAAATATTGATTAAATTTATTTTCTTTACCGATATTTTATTCAAAATGTAAAGTTAAATAAAAAGATATCATTTTGATGTGAATGACTATTTTTAAAAGATTATAAAAAGCAATAAATTAGTAAAAATTATTTAAATTAACTATTCACTTTTTAAATAAATTTAAAACTTCCTATTAATATTATATTCTATTAATTTTTCTTTATAATATAATAAAAATTTCTATTAATCTTTTTTGCTTAGGTTGAATTATGGAAATATGGAAGTATTGATTAAATTTATTATCCTTGTCATAGATATTTTATTCAAAATGTAAAGGTAACTAAATAGCTCTCATAGAACTAAAATATAATTGATATTAACCACAACCATTTTAGTTAATCAATTATTGATTTTTTTAATGTTAAAATATCGAACCTAAGCTCTCGATTTATGCTTATGGTGGCCATCACTAATTTAACTAAAATTCATTATAATTTTAAATAGTTGGAAAAATGGTGAAAGTGAGTATAACTCAACAGTAATTAATATATACCACAAAATATTTGGCATATATCTCCAAGCAATAATTGTGAGTTCGAATTCCCATTCTGTACTAAAAAAAATTTTCAATGATTTTAGTTTTATAAAAAAATCATTTTGAGCTCAGCTTGAACCAGAACTATTTCTCATACAAAAATTGTGAGTTCGAAATTTTTACCTTGTATGTTTTTGTATTATAAAAAAGTTCAATGGTTTAATCGTAATTATTGAACTAAAAAATATAAAATAAAATTTTACAAAAAGAATTTAAAATTCCCATTTTCATAGTTAGAACAGAATTGTCAATTTGCAGAGTATTTTCACGAGAATGAAGCAATCGAAGGACCCATTTGAAGCGGCGTTTGAGGAGCAGGAGGAATCGCCGCCGAACTCCCCCTCTGCCGCCGACGTTGTCGAAATCCAGACCAATGTAGCCGCTTCCGATGCTCTTGATTCTCACGACGGCGACGATGATCCAAAAGCCGCCACCGCAGCCGCCGCCGCCGTCGCCACACATTCCGGTATCCCTTCTGCACCCACCACTTCTATGTTTGTTTCTTCTTCCTCCAATGTCTCTGCCGCCCCTAAAACCAAAGACGACGACGAGGAAGAAGAGGAGGAGAATGTGGAAGTTGAGCTCGCCAAATTCCCCTCCAGCGGTGACCCCGATAAAATGGCGAAGATGCAGTATGTTCTCTCCACTCTCTCAATATTCGGGACTAATTTCTGTTTTTAATTGATCATTCTGTTCCAAGTTGCGCTAGTTTAGATTCAATTACCTCTGCCGGTTTCTCTTGTCTGTGATTACGATAATTTTTAGGTTTGACTACAAATTCTGAGCATTGTTCGTGTCTGTAAGAGGGTTTTGTTTTTGTTACTTCATCAAATGTTAGAAAAAGGTTGAAAGCCAAACGCATGTCAAGGTAAATCCTATCGGGGAATGTTAAAACGGCCTTCCAATTTGCCAAAAGATCATTAAGATTGTAATTTGTAGAGGGGGTAACATGTACACCAAGAGAGAGCCATGATAAAAATAGAATCTATGAATCTATTTATTTATTTTTTTATAAGAAACTTAAAGATTGTATTCCATATCAAAAGGAGCCCAACAAAAGAGGCAAGAGAACAACCTAGAGGTGGAGGGTCAAGAAGACCCTCCCCAAGGGGTCTAAACAATCAAGGAATTCCAACTTTGTAGGATCAACAAAAAAATCTATAAATTTATCAAAAGATATGGATGTGTTGTTGAAGATTCAATTGTTTCGTTCAAGACATAGCAACGAAAAGAGAGCTCTATTGGTTTGCAGCCAAAGACGCTTCTTTTTTCTCTCTCTTGAACTGGTGGTCAATCAACATTTTGTTGTTTGGAAAGCCACTATCCAGTTTAAGGCATTTTGAATTATGGACCAATATCTGTTTGAAAAGGGGCACTGTGACTGAAAGATGGCCTTGTGCTTGCCACCTTATAGTATCGGTTGATGGAATATTGACATCAAGCACGGAGCACTCCAATAGATCAATTTGGTAAGCAGATATTTTCATTTTAGAAATTTTAATGCAATAGACTGCGTCGTAAGCAATTCTTCTTGCAAATTGGAGGGATAGATTACAAGTAGCTACTAGGTCACCTTATTCTTAGGAAGAGCCAGCACTGGTTAGGTGTTTTATCAGCTCTCCAATGATGTTTAATATGTTTGCTGTGGTCCTTTGGTCAGGAAATCATCTAGTTGATTGACATGAATAGAGTGTGAATTAGTTCGTTATTTAGTTTCTCCTATGAAATCTTGATAATTTGTAGAATTCACAAATTCCCAATGCCCTTGCCCAAAATTTTACTTTTGAACCTGACCTGCTATTGCATGTTTCTTCCTGCTCTTCCAAATTAAAGGATGTTTCCTTCAAGAATATGCAATAGCCAAATGTTGATTTTCTTAATCAGGAGATCCAATATATATAAAAGGCTTCTTAGATAAGCTTATTTCTCTTCTCAACTGGATGCTATTTATTTGGTCCCACAAACTATGATGATCAGGACAATGTACTTAAGATGATAGATTGACTTATATGTGAAGGTGGTTGTATGATAGACATGATGAAATTGCTTGACTATTTGGTGATTACATGCTGAGAAAATAAATAAGGGATAGGGACGGACACTCAAGTTTAACCTGGATAACCAATCTTTAGATAAAAACCATGCTCGGCAATGAATTTATACAAACTCTAAGGCTTACTCAGCCACTGCTACCCTTTGTATTGTGCTGAAGAAGTTTTGAGGTCGGTTTGTTTCTCGTTGAATCATGACATACAATGAACTCCTTTTACTTGTGTGAAAAACTGCAACTTACACTTGTTAGCAATGGTACACAATGTGGCCTAGTAATCAATGATCCTTCAAAACCAACGTTTCTTCTTTGATTTGAAATCCTGATAGAGAAAATTTATATCGAGTTTTTATGGCCAGTTATCCAGTAAAGACCTAATTCTGAACAAAAGCATCAAAGGGAGACTACTACTCGTTTTCTACCTAAAAGTCATGGTTTTTTATCTCATTGTTTGATATTTAGGTCATCTTTTTCTGCACTAGTTGTACATTATTTATCTGGTGGTATGTAAATTTGAGCTTGGAACTAAGTTTTTATCCATAATAATTGGGATTGGATAATTAAATCTGTTAAGCTTTTACTGATTTTTTGTTTCTTCGCAGTCTCTCTTGTAATTTCATAAATCTCAGCTCTTATTAAAAAAATAATACACCATGTGGATTTCATCCTTTATTATGTATGTCCTGTTTTTGAGTATGAAAAATGGATATATTTTGTTTGTCTTCTCTCCAGAAAGTTGATTGAAAATGACCCTTTTTTTATAAAAACTTGATATCATTTTTGTTACTCAGGATGCTTGTTTTGGTTTCTTTAAGAGTGAACTTCAAATGCAACATTTTGAAATTTTCACTTCAGATTCAGAAAGAATCTTGTTGTAACTTTTTTCTCAACACTTTGACAGAGCCATTCTCTCACAATTTACAGAAGAACAGATGAGTCGGTATGAGTCCTTTCGGAGAGCTGGATTTCAGAAAGCTAATATGAAAAGGGTACACATCTGAATATTTTCCTATAATCTAATATGCTAGGACGACGACAGGAGGTTGGGTTGGGGTTGGGGATGCATTCCCGTCCTCGACCTTGGAGAATCAGTATCAGGGACGAAAAATCCTCACCGAGGGATTGAGGTTTTGTGCAGGAAAAAATCCCCATCCAAGGCAGTTTTGATGGATGGCTTAGCTATTGGGTTTCTATCTGAGATGCTAGTCTTTATGAACATGGACTCGGCTCATCCTGTTTCCATTCTGTTCTAAATTGCAGCTATTAGCAAGCATCTCAGGGACACAGAAAATTTCTGTACCAATGACAATTGTAGTGTCCGGGATAGCGAAGATGTTTGTTGGTGAGCTCGTAGAAACAGGTACGCATAAGCTCGTGTGAAGCATACTTTCGGTTATTTTAATGGCAATGTGAAGCATAGACAGAAGAATCTGCATATTCCAAAATCGACATCGACTAATTTCGACGCATTTTCTTTTTCAGCAAGAGTTGTTATGACAGAGCGGAATGATACCGGACCTATCAGGCCATGCCATCTCAGAGAAGCATATAGAAGACTAAAGCTTGAAGGTAAGATTCCAAGGAAATCAGTGCCTAGGCTCTTTCGCTAATCAGTCTGTTCAATTTATAATCATTGCATTAGGAGTTTTTGGAAGGAAATTTCAACATTGTTACATCAAGCTTAGGCAAACCATCTCATATATAGTTATATACTACTAAAGTTCCTTCCAACATCTTTTTTTCCCTTACAAATTGGCTTCTGATTTTAACCACATACACAAACTGTTGAAAGGGTGGAAAACTTGAAGCATGGATTGGGAAGTGCTACCAGAACTTGTAAATTTAAATAAACTAAAGATTTTCATAAATGTTTAAGAATATAATAATCTCCGATTTACCTTTTCCTTTTGATATGGACTTTGAGATGCAGGAATATTCCACTTGAAAGATGAAAGTGTTGGCACATATCACGTAATCGATCGATTAAGAAACCCTTTTTTTATAAGAAACATAGAGAATGCATTCATATCAAAAGAGCCCAAAAGAGCGAAACCGACCTAAAGGCGGAGGGTAGAGAGAACCCTCTCCAAGGTAACTAAACAATCGCATTCTTCTAATATTGTGTAAAATCAAAAAAAGAATTAGTTTTCAAAATCCTTCTTGTGGATTGTAGCCCACCAAGAAGTTGTATGTTTTGTATTCACACAAAAATAATCTAAAGGGGTTGATTGGGGCTGATTTGTCTTTAAAAAGTCTACTGTTTCTCTCTTTCCAAAGGTGTCAAAGGAGAGACCTCGTTGCACGGTTCTATAAGATTGAAACTTTTCCTTTGAGCGCTGCACCACCAAAACCTTCCGCTATGAAGTCATCTTCCAAAACCTTCTGTCATGAACTTATCTATATGTTTAGGAAGACAGGAGGAAAAATCCATAAGCAAAGTCACATAGTTCCAAGTTTGAGTGGCAAACTGGATATCTGAATTTCTTCGTATTCTCTCAACTGTGTTTGTGCTCCTATAAAAGAGAGTCCATAGAGAAAATTTCACCTTTTTTGGAACCTTAAAATTCCAAATCATAGAAACCGACTTCGCTGTGAAAAAACCCTTCCACCATAAACAATCCCTGCTTTGGCATTAGTGAATGTTGTCGATCTATCAATCTCCCTATCAAAAAGACTATGAAATCAACCCAATAAAACTAACAATAGATTGATAAAATATCTCAAAGGCAAGAAATTTTTTTTTGTTTGAGATCTGAATTAGTCCACAAGCAAGTATCCTAAAAATGCAAACTATAAAAAGATGGTAAAATACATTAGCTCTTAGCTTAATGCAAACTTGTAAAATACATTAGCTCTTAGCTAAACTAAAAGCTCAAGGATTGATTTTCATTGCCTCTTTGATCTCAAATGATAATTCAAGGCTTTATAAAGTCATATATCAACCGTTAGAATAATTTTAAAAATAAATGAAAAGATTTGTAACTTATAAAGAGGCTCCAAAATGAAAATATTTTCAAACTAGTAATGGTAGATTTTAAATAGGTAAAAACATTAAAATAAAAAATTAATGATATTAAGATTAACTACAATATAGTCCGAATTTAATAATAGCAATAGTGAAGAACAAAATCAAGACATATTACCCTATATTTCATAAAATATATTTACTTCTTACCAATTGTTTGAGATCAAACTGACAAATGCTTGCAAGATGCACACAATGATCAACGATTGCTAAACAATGTCGCTCTACAACATTAAAGCCAAATATTAAAAAGTTTTAGTATTCTACCACTAAATCTAAAAACCACAATGAACTAAAGAGAGAAGAACGTGTATAGAAGAACGATAAAACAAATTAGTATGAAAATGAGTGGAAAGAGCGTCACTTTTATAGTTGTAGGAAGCAAAAAAAGTTACAAAAACGTTTGAGATTCCAACACTTTTCATATTCCACGATTGAACTTAGACAAAAATTTTTCATATTAATCTTTCATATTCCATTCATTTATTTAATCCACCTTGTGGTGTATTTAAATTTTGTTTCCCTATTTTTTTTTCAATATTCATAATTTATTTACGATAAATCTTAGGATATTTTTAATATTTCAATTTAAAGATACAAATATTCTCATATTTTACATTTTAATAATATATTTAGTGAACTTTGATATATATAATTTTTATTTGCTAATTATTAATTTTTTTATTAATTTTTTTCTCATTATTGTAAAATAATATTTCAAAGATAAACTATTATATAATAAAATAATATTTAAATTTTTGTTCTCCTGAACAAAATTTTCAATATTCATAATTTGTTTAGGTTAAATTAGTATAAATATTCTAATATTTTCCATCTTAATAATATATTTTATCAATTTTGATCTATATAATTTTTATTTGATAATTATTAATTTAATTTTTTAATTATTGTAAAATAATATTTCAAAGATAAATTATTGCAACATGGATAATATTTAATTTTTATCAAACAATTTAAACTAATAAATAATAAAAGACAATTAAATTTAGAATCTCATTGGGTTAGAAAATAATATTTTAAATTTATCATATTAATTATAAAGATCGTTGTTCTCAACTCTTTCCTCATCAAAACTTGAGCCTTCTTTTCTCCTTTCGACGTATTTTCTCTTTTAGACAATGTAACATTCAATTTTTAGTTTTTTTTTCAATGCAAAGTTAATAATTGTAAGCTTAAAAGATGACATACTGTTTTTCTTTCTTTCTTCTTCTTTTGTCATTCTCTTTTTCAATGACTCAAATAAGAAATCAAAATAACGTTCTCTTTCATTTGGAACAAAAAAAGATGAAATTCCATGAATATGTGTTTTTTTTACAAAACAAAAAAAAAATTAGGTAATCGAAGAATATGTGTTAAGTTGTTTATTCTTGCTTGGTGTATTTTACTTATGGAAAATTTTCAAGTAATCGACACTTCTAAATTTATTTCGTTATTTAATATCACTTTTTTTAAGATTAAAAAAAAAAAGCCAACTGTGGGATCGGCCTCGCTTAAGGTGGATACATGGGAAAACGACTTTCACGTTCGGTTTAGAGAGCACTTTTTTCGTTGAGAATTCATCGTGACTAGCTGCCATAAAGAGCTGAAGAGACTCGAATTAGTTTAAAGACTCGGGACCTTAGCAAGGGGATATTGCACGGAAAGTCTGATTAGATCTTATCATTTAACTTTTCATAGGTTTCATTTTCAACATCATTAAGCACCAATGGTATCATTTTCAACGTCATTAAGCACCCATTGTAAGAAAAAAAATATTAAAATCTAGTTAAGGAGCAATCACCTTATCGTTCTATTTTTTTCTCCCGTAGCTAGAAGAGCTATAAGTTAAACCATCATTCATATCAAACCTAATTTTTTCATTTGATTTTAGTTTTTTAATAAAATCAAACTTCATTATAAATGATACAATTATGAGTTATAAAAAAAGATTGTCCTCCTTTGGCATCAATGAATGACCCAAGGAGGAAATCAGTTTCCGAGATAAAATAATAAAACAAAATGCAAGTATGGTTTACAACTCTTTGCATTGCAACATTAGCTTCTATTCGAATATGGGTAAATAGAACCAAAACCAATTTCATAGCCAGATGGAAAATGTTGTAAATCAAGATTCTATCACAAAATATATAAATAAAAATCTCTCTCGACGTCATAGAACGAGATAGTGACAGTGAGTAAGACTCAACTATGATGTTCGAAGACTTACTTAAAGACATCCAAATTGACAAGAAATTTACTTAAGAACTAGCGAATAACACTAAAAATTAACTATAAAATTATCCCAATCAAATTGTGGTATGATATAAGTTTATATTCTCTGGCCATCTACTATCTTCCGATGTGTGATGAACCAATACTCTCTTGTTTATTTACTTCGAGAAATGAGAAAATAAAAGTTGTTCAAATAAAAATAAATAAATAAATAAAATTGGTTGAAAACTCTATAACAAACATTTTAAGGGCAAATGGACCATCGAAAATGGGCTTTGGGAGCTGAAAATAGATGCATGTCGATTGCTCTCGGTGTTCTCACTAATTCAATGTAATGGCCGGTAGTTTTCTCTATGTTTGTTAAAGTTTTAATTTATTCACTTAGAATATTGCATCACTTTTGGATAATATACTATACAAATATGAGTGTGTATAATTTCTTTTTTCTAATKGGTTGGAAGTATGAGTTTATTTTACCTTGAGTCAATATGTGAGAGAAAATTCATCTTTTAGTCGATGATATATGACTTAATTTTCGACTAAATTTGTTAAATTATACTCGAGATGACAATAAATTTATGTAATATGTATGGGYCAGTGGATTTTAAAGTTTGAATAAAATTTTGGATAAAATTTATTTTTCATCTAATAATAATAATAATAAGAACGGATAGCTGTCGGCCTAGTCCCATAGCTGCTGGCCCGTCGTTCCGTCAAAGACCTCCATTTTCAGGCTYTCAGAAGAGTAAGTTTTTGAGTGATTTAGTCATCTCCCTAGTCCCTAAGTTCACACACTGATTTAAAAAAAAATTGATTTCGGCGAAAAACCAACCGACCGAACGGATAAATTTGGTTGGTCGATTATATCTTATTTAATCGATTGGGATTTCGGCCTAAAAACCGACCCGACCGGTGAACACCCTAAATTATATATTTTAGCGCTGTTGTGTGGATGTAATATTAGATTATTATTATGTGTAATTCTTCCTATATAGATGTATTTGTTTATTTGTCAACTTTTACCATCAAATATAATTTCTTATTCAAGTAATATGTTTGATTTAGACAATATTCGAATATAATCAAAATGCACCCCAGTAAATATAAAGAGACGAGTTGAGGAATTTAAAAGTTGAATGAGTTGGATACGTGCAGGGCGCGGGCGCGGTGGTGGTGGTGGTGGATTTAGGAGCAGGGGTGAYGGAGGAAGGGGCGCTAGAGGCAGAGGTATGCAAAGCCGTGGTGGTGGTCGAGGAGGTGGAAGAGGTCGCCGTGGAGGAAGAGGCGGTGGTATGAAAGGTGGAAGCAAAGTCGTGATTGAACCCCACAGACATGAAGGTATTTTCATAGCCAAGGGCAAAGAAGACGCTCTTGTCACTAATAATATGGTCTCTGGTGAATCTGTCTACAACGAGAAGAGGATATCCRTACAGGTGATTCGCTTCTAACAGTAATCTCACCTTGTAATGCTTGCGCTTGGATGTTTGTTAGCTCWTATACTGAATTTTTTGAAATTTAGAGAAACCATTCYATACAAAAGATTGACTACGTGAGTGCTTGATTATTACTCATGAGAAATTCTAGTTGGAACTGATATCTCCAAATAGTTTTGTGTGGTTCTAGCACAATAGTTAGGGAGTGTATATGAAAGTACTCAGCTTTATACGTTGGCTGTGTTTGTAAGCTTATAAGCTAAATGTTTTATATATACTGTCCTTCCAGAATGAAGATGGAACTRAAGTTGAATACAGAGTTTGGAACCCATTCAGGTCAAAGTTGGCRGCTGCAGTTCTTGGTGGYGTTGATGACATATGGATTGTTAGTGCTTTTCACCWAAAATTTTGATTTTATCTACTTCAATTTTTCAGTTTGTTATTTTCTTTGYTTCTTTATTTTTAATTTGCTAACATGTGTATTGTAGAAACCTGGTGCTCGAGTGTTGTATCTTGGCGCTGCTTCAGGAACAACAGTATCTCATGTATCAGATCTTGTGGGGCCTGTAAGTAGTTATTTATAGAGTATATGTAGTAGTCTTTCATTGAAGTAAAAAATGCTTAACCACTGTCGTTCTGATTTGCAGACTGGTATAGTGTATGCTGTGGAATTCTCTCATAGAAGTGGTAGAGATTTGGTGAACATGGCAAAGAAGCGCACAAATGTTATACCCATCATTGAAGATGCTAGACACCCTGCCAAGTATCGAATGTTGGTTGGCATGGTGGATGTGGTCTTTTCAGATGTTGCTCAGCCAGATCAGGTTCACACTTTGTTTTTGACTAGTCTTATTATTATTGTATGTTAACATCATCACCTTTGTTGAGATTGATGGCACACTTCTTCGACTTGTGTGATTAATAGAATCCTACCATTGATTTTTGTATCTTATTGATTAAYCTTTTTAAGTGGTGCAGTACATTTCAAACTATAGTTTTCATTTGTACAGTCTTGTTGGATTTAATGCCTACTTATCTCTCCATGTTTCTAGCTTAAAGCCTTTTTTATCCTTGAATTATTTAGCATATGACGAATTGCTCGGCTAGGAAACACGGGCACACATTTTTGGGCGAAGTATCTGTGTCGGACACATGTCCGACACGGATAGGCTTGGACACGTGCTGGACACGTGTCAGACATGCATTTTGTGTGTTTGATTATTTATTTATTTATTTTTAAATCGGACGCGGCAGGATATGGCTTGGACACGGCATGGACACGGGGATGGTAATTTTTAGGTTTTTGGGCCCAAATAAAAAGGCCCAATGCCCATCAGTAATTTTTTTTTTCTTTTATGAGAAACACAAGAAAATATATTAAAAAACACCCTCGAAAAGAGGGGCGGGAAGAAACAGCCTAAGGGCGGAGGGTAGAGATAACCCTCCCCCAAGAAGAACTATACAATCACGGACTTCTATCTTGTATAAGCAAAAGGAGACTGTAGTTACAAAAAACTTTCTTGTGGATTGTTGCCCACCAAGAAGCCATATGCTCAATATTCACACAAAAAGAATCCACCGAGACCGTTTTTCCTTCAAAAATTCTACTATTTCTTTCTTTCCATAGGAGCCATAGGAGAGCCCTTGTCGCACAATTCCAGAGAACAAAGGATTTCCCTCTGAGAGTAGAACCACCAAAACCCTCATTGATGAAATCATCAATTTGCCTAGGAGGACAAAAAGAAAAATCAACAGCAGCAGCCACAAAATTCCAAGCTTGAATAGCAAAAGGACAATGCAGAAATAAATGGTCAATGTTTTCTGTATCCTTCCAGCACATATGGCACACTGTTGGAGAAAGTGTCCAATGGGGAAGTCTTCTTTGCACCTTATCAGCCGTATTGATATCCCTATAAAACAGGGTCCAAAGGAAAAATTTGACCTTCTTTGGCACCCTGAAGTTCCAAATAGAAGAGGCAGTAGCATAATTTAGCTTTTTCGAGGGAGAGGTGATGGCCAAGAAGGCTGATTTGACTGAGAACGTGCCTTTGCTATCTGCTTTCCACCCAATCCATTGCAGACTGGTATCCTCCGGGAGATGCGTTTCTGTCCTCCAGTGGTTTTCTGAGATAACCATTTAGCCACATTAAAATCCCCCCTTATACACCAAGCTCCCTGACAAAGCCCTGCTAAATCTTCCAATTCTCTCCAAAAATCTGAATCTGTTCTCCCATGGGAATTTGATGGCCCATAGACTCCAGAGAACCAACCTTCTCTACCGTCTACAAACCTGAAATTGATTGTTACAGAGAAAGAACCCAAAATCGACTGAAGGATGGAGAGTTTATGCTATTTCCAAAGAATTAAAATGCCTCCGGCTGTATCTTCTGCGTCAAGGGCTCTCCAACCTATAGATCTAGAGCTCCATATGTCTTTAATAATCTGCCTATCAACCTTGTCTTTCTTAGTTTCCTGAAAACAAACCAGATCCGAATCAGCTTTGATAATCAGATCTTTGACAAGGGCTCTTTTAGAGGCAGTACCCAACCCCCTCACATTCCACGAAATTACTTTCATTTGAGAACCGAGGGGCCCTGGTCTAAGTTCTCCTTTTCTGCTTTTGCTTCATTTTCCCATGTTGCGAGCAAATTTCTAAGTTCTCTACTCTCTGTATTTTGTTTGTTTCCTTTTCCTACTGGTTTTCCTTTGTTTGGAATTGGTGTAATGCATAAGCTATTTTCCCAAAGAGCCACCACCAGATTTTTTGTGAAGGGAAGGGTAGCATGTGAGGATGGTTCCTCTGTTTGCTTAACTGCTTGCTGTTCATCTTCTGCTTCTTCGTATATGGGTTGGCAGTCTATGGGATCTACTTCTAATGCCATTAACTCTGTTCCCGGACAAAAACTCGTCCCTTTTTCAGTGTGTTTCTTAAAACAGAGGTAGTAGTCCTCTGGTACATCCATAGAGGGGGCTTTTGGAGGTGGGCTGTCTGGAAGGGGGATGTCTTCGCTTGACCAAGATGATTCAGATGACACATCGATTTGTTTTCCCCTTTTCTTTGCATTCTCTGCGATTTCTTCTGCCCTCTGCTTCTTTCTCTTTTCTTGTCTTTCTTCTTCCATCGACAAAACTATCCCCTTCTAGAGGCTTGGAGAACCTTTTTGGCCCTTTTTAAAAGCAACTTTCTTTTTTTGTTGTAAACCTTCTGACATCTCCAAAAGTTTAAATTTCTTCGGACTTAGTAACCTTTTTAGATTGGCAAATTTCTTGTCCATTGCTAACCTTGTCAGTGGGACCCATCTTAAAAGGATGTATTCCTCCCCCTTCACATGTCAAATCAGTTGCTTGGCTCGAGGTTGCAGGGGCGTTCGTATTTACCAATGGGTAAGAAAAACCATCTTCCACCCTCCATTTGTCCATTGGACAAGGACCTGGACAACCAGCTGGGCCTCGATGGAAGTTTACTGCGGCCTCCGATGAGAAACCACCGTGCACCTTGGCGTCTTTCCCGGCCAAAAACTTAACGTCTTCATAGGTCGACGTCTGTACTTGAAAATACATTTCAGAGTCTTTAATGGTTAGTCCTGGTGGAACAAACCCACAATAATTACCTCTAACCTTGATGGCCACATCCAAACATTCAGGACAAGAACCTGGTCCCAATTAATTTCTCGCACTTCTTTCTCCTGTGATAGAGTGTTGATCGTTGTGGGAGAATTTTCCAAAGGCCTAGTGAGAGCTGATGCGTAAGATGTAGTTGTCTTTTGATTGCTCATCAACCTATCCTTTGTTTGTGACTCAAAACCGTTTATAAAATCCAGCAGAAGCTGTTTGAAAGCCTTCCATCCTTTGCAACCTTCCCCCGCTGGGACCACAATGTTGGTTTTGCCCCCTGAGTTTTGGACCTTCGTTATTTCTATAAAGCTGCCTCTTTTATTCGTCGTCTTTAGGATCCAGGCGAACCCATTCAAGCATTGTGTCTTTCGAAAGAACTTCTGGATCTGTGGAGCGAGAAGGAGGTCTTCTATGGAGTTTGTTAACCATACCACGATTATTTCTTCAAAGGCGACTATGAACTTTCTACTCAGATGGAACTCCTTAATTTGCCCTACTCTGCCCTTGAAGTTCGGATCAAAAGAACATCTAAAGGACTTGTTTTCAATCTTGGCAGTCAACTGCCGTGAAGCCATGGAGCAGGAGCCGTCTAGTGGAAAGGTTGAACATGTCTCAGATGGATTGGGAAGAGAAGCCGTGTCCTAATTTTTTAGGAATTGACGTAAAAAGGAGGCGCTGGAGTAGGGAATCGAACCTGTGATGGGAGGGTTAAAAATGAACATTATGACCACTATGACCACTGCTGGACAATTCTTATCATTTAACCAATTGACGAAATATTACTAAATCAAGTCATTCACTGCGATTTTAGGGTTCCCTAAACCCTAAAATCGCAGTCATTAAATGCCCTACTTTTGAAAATACTTTCAAACCTACATTATCTGTGTCATTTGTTTTTTAAAAAACATTATTTAAACAAAAAATCCCTATCTAGCAGACTGTTTCTTTTCATACTTTTTCTCCTTGAACCATTTACCATATGATGAATTTCTCGGATTTCCCTTCAAGACTTCTTGAATGATGCAAGTCCTGACTCTCAGATCCTTCAAAAAGACTTGATTTTTTACTGTTTCTTTTCCTACATTTTCTCCTTTAACTATTTGGCATATGATGAATTTCTCGGATTCCGTTCAAGACTTCTTGAATGGTGTAAGTCCTGAGTTTCAGATGCTTCAAAAAGACTTGCTTCTGAATTGTCGTCATTATTTCTTAATAAATGCTTATCAATTTTGGTGATACTATCTGAATTCTTCTTTTCAAAATTTTCCTTGGTCTGTTTTCCTTTCTCCCATGTTATCATCCTATTCCACCTCAAGTAGATTGTATAAAATCAATCCATGCCTTATAATTTTTATCTAGGTACCACTTACCCTGTGCTTAAAGTTYATAAGTTGCATTTCTTCATTTTTTATATTCATGAAATACTCTATGTAAACAATTGCTTTTTTTAGAACTTTGGATCAAACCATCTTGTTCTCTCA